ACGCTTGTCCCTTCTGCATCGCCCTGCAAATTACACATCCTTTTTGCATTGCTTTGCAAATACAGATTCCTTCTGCATCGCTCTGTAAACGCGTGTTCCTTCTGCATCACCCTGCACATACGCTTCCCCTCCTGCATTGCACTTCAAATAGATGTTCCTTCTGCATCACCCTACTGATACATATCCTCCTGCACCTCCATGCAAATAAACGTCCCTCCTTCATCACCCTACAAATACCCATCCATCCTGCACGGCCCTGCAGACAGGTGTCCCGCCGTGCCATGCCCTCAGGTAGGCCAGCTGCCTGTTCTCACGACACTCCTCGTGCCATACTGACACCTCCGTACCGCCTGCACTGCTGAGGGTGTTTGCTAGGGAATGTGGTTCTTTGCTTGGTGGAAGTGCTGTGTGAAGGAGAAGGAAGCCTTGGGTGAGTGTTGCAGAGGGAAGGCCCCAAAGGACGTGGGCATGAGTAGCTTTTTTTTTTTTTTTTTGCGGTTCCTTGTTTTAAGGAGATTCCGTCAGCACAGAGGGAAGTTGGATGTGATGGGGATAAGGTGATTTCCCAGCAGCATCCCCAGCTGGTGGTTGTCTGAGCACAGAAGGATGTTGGTGAAGAAGTGTTATGGTGCTCCAGCACAAATCTCTGTGGTGTAGCAATACTTAGGCATGAAGTTGTGTTCGTACTGGAGACGCCAAGCTCTGCTCGCTAGCAGAGCTGCCACCCAAGAAATCATCCCCCAAAAGATTTCTCAAGTCCTGTAGGGTGGTGCTTTAATTAATGCGATGGCATTCCTAACTGTTGTAGGCACAGAAGGAGCAAGTAGATAGCAAAGCATTGCATGTACCATTTCAGGCTCCATTTTGTTGAGCAGGGCTCTCAGTGCTTGGTATTATGCCTTATCAATTTTTTTTCCAGTGCTGGGTCTGAGTAAGTGCTGTGGTTCACAGGGATATCTATGCTTTGATATTTGAAATGCTGTCTGTTTTTTGTAGGAAGCAACTGGGGGACTGGGGTGTGATTTGTTCATTTGTTACCTGAACGTGTACACGGTGCGCTCAGCAGGTGTCTTGGTTCCACGTTATCTCCATCTTCCTCTTTTTTGAAGACGAAAAGATGTGACTTAACCAAAACATGTGGTCCCCCTGCGGAAATGGGGGACGGGCACAAGGCCAGAACCTCCTGGAGCCGTTGGTAGATATCGAGATGCAATTGATTTGGTTTTAGAAGGCTGAGGAAAAATATCCATCCCTTCCATTGACGGTGAGCACTGGGAGTGCTCAGCAGCTCTGATAGCAAGGTCATTTTTACACATAAGGCTTTCCATAGCCAGGGTGCTTTATGAGCAGCTGCTAATTAATCTTCACATCGTCTCTCTGCAAATCCTCTGGCACGACGAGTTTTACTGCATTCTCTATAACATGAATAAAATTGAACAGGAAAATAACATCACTTTGTTTTGCATTTGAAAGCTAAAGTGGTGATGACACCTAAATCCAGATCTGGGAGATGGTGTCTGTGAGAATGGTGGATGGGTGACTGGGTGATTCCAGGTGTTTTCTGTCCTTTTCAGTGTCACTTGAAACATGTGTTTGAATGGAGGTCTTGTCCACGCAGACTCCTACAAGTTAGTTTGGGGGCTGTGGAGCAGGAGCTGGTGTGTGTATGGGTTGTTCTGCAGCTTTTTCTGGTCTACACAGTATGTTCCCACATCTCGACATGAATACTGAGACCCTACCTACAGCTTTTTTGCAAGAGATGGTTGCTTCCTGGCCTCGATTCAGCAGTGATGTGTTTTGTGCCTGATAGAATAGCATTCTTTAAAGGAAGCTCCACGCAAGAATGCAGTGGAACAAGTGTTTGGGGCATCACATTTTAGCAAAGCGTAGAGAGGAAAAATGAATTTTCTTTACGAAATGTTTTTTTCTGACATTATCACAAGTGTCTTTCAACTGAAATAAGCCGATGCTCATGTAAGAGCAGTACTGACAGCAGAGTTCTGAATTGTTAGGGGGCTCAGTTACATGGAAACAGATGAGCTTGTGGAGTTCCACAGTGGAGGTGTTGGTGCTTGATGTGATTTACATCCTTTCCTTTGGGTTTCTCATTTCGCAAAGAACCGGTTACTAAAAAGCAATGCAGTTTCACCAGTAGCCTTCCATCCTGCCCAGGCTTTCATTCCTACGCTGGTTAGGATATTTCTCAGTGTAGGTAAAAACAAATCTACATTGCTTTGTTTTATTTTATTTTATTTTTTAAATTTAATGCCAAAGGCCCAGCAGGAAATTTTGATACTTACAAACTTTATATGCTTGCTTAGGGATGAATCTGACTTTCTTCTCCATGGGAGGAATAACGTTTATTTTATAAACACTTCCCAAACCCCAAAGTGTTGCCCTTGCTAATTTTTTTTTTCACAAAGATCTGTCCTTGCGCAGCTTGAAGGGCAACGATAATAAAAACAAAGGAATAAAATCGAATTTAATATTCCTTCTGTGACTTCTGTTGTTGTTGTTGTTGAAGAACAAACTACTGCTATCTTCAGCAGCGATGTTAAAATTTACTGTTCAGTAGTTCAAAGGTGGCAGGTGAACCTGAACTTCTGACATCCTTCTGCCCTGTCCCTTTCATGCCTCTCTTCTGCTTTTTCTTGCCCCAGCAGGGCAAGGTGTTGAGGACAGTGGGTTTTAAGGTTCAGGATTGGCAGGAGGCCCTGCGGTGTGTATGTACGTGCAGCAGATGAGGAAGGAATAAATAAGCAATTCACTTCTGCTGGCTAGGGATGACCTCTCTAATTCCCATCTGGGAAGATAAGACATAATTAAAACCATGAAGTTACTCATTAATTTCCCTCAAGGAGGAGGAAACTTTGGCTTTTCATGCTCATTTCAGATTTCCAGGTTCGCCCCTGGCAGGTAAGTTCAGTGTTATGTTCAAAGCTGGTGGCAAACCTGAAAAGATTGGAGTGCCTCTTACATTATTTCCAGGGCAGAGATGATCTATGAGAACAATGGTTTATTGACACGATAGCTAATGGGAAATGTACTTGACACTAAAACGTGAGTTAGGGAGCTGCATTTAATGTTTTCTTCTAGAGAAAAGAACATACACAATTAATATTAAATGAGGCAGGGCAGGATGATCTGTTTCAAATAGGAGAAGTGGAGTAGAAAATTGTCTTCTAATTGTTTTTTAAAATTCAACGATTTTGCTGCTGCATGTGTTTCAGCCTGCTGTTACATGGCTTTCCTTCCTTCTGTTATAAAGATAGAGCAAAAATTCCTATCAGGCCAGACTCATTGTTTATTTAGTGCAGGTTCCCATTAGTTAGGAAAACACGCTTTTTAAAATCAAATTTCCCTTGAAAAACAATTAGCTCAAGTGGGAAGCATTATGCAGAACTCTGAAGTTTCAAAACAATCTTACAAGGAGAATTCTTCTAAGTCTTTCCTGGAAAGGGAATGTCATACCATTATCCAGGCTGAAAACAGAATGATAATGAATTAGCTAGAGGAATAATAAAAGAAGTAAACGCTGTGTTCAATAAACCAAGTGCTGACCTCAGTCATGAGCTATCGATGAGGCTCTAAGAATGTGACTTAAAATGAGCCTGATGGGCCTGCCATCATTATGCACGAAGCAAATATGAGTGCATAAATAACAAAGCAACTTCTTTGCAATCCAGCATAGCAATGGAATGTTAATTTACGTTCTGAGATAATATGTAGCATTATTTCATACCGGTGGTGATTGTTTGCATTCAACAACAAGTGGTAGCTGTGGGTTGGGGTCTATGTGTTTCTGCTCATTGACGTTTACCCCGTTGCCATTGATCAGGTATTTTCTCCAGGCTTATCAGGAAAAGCACTGAATCTTTTCATTTGCATGCCACAGGGATCATTCAGAATTCTCTGCATATTGAGGGCAAATTGCTCCCTGTTATCTGTGCTGCTGAAAGCGAGAATCTGTGTGGTAAAGGCAGGCATGTGGCTGCATTACCAAACCCCACATTTCTCTTGGTGACTTAATGGGGTCTTACTCTGCTGTGAGAAACTCACTTTACTCAGTCCTCAGATAGGCATAAGAAAACCTAAAATGGTGTTTCTTCAAAGTTGTTTAGTGCCTGTCAAACACACCTTTGAATATGTAGTTCCTACAGTGGTTAAAAAGCGTATTTACATGTCAGTAGTGTTAAGGTATGCGTTAATATGTTACAGAACTTGCATAAAATATGAAAACAGAAGCTACATTCATTGATAGAGTGAGAGCTCTTGAGGCTGTTAGTGTTAATACACAGCCAGTAAATTTTAGGTGTTTAGGAGCATAAGTAGAAGGGATACTCAGGAATACTTCTGCCTCACTTTTCTTTATGGCTGGGGAGGAAAGATGCGGTGCTCAGCACCGTGTGGGGCAACGTTGCCCGGCAGGAGCTGCTCTGGTTCTCACTGGGGACCTCATCCTGCATCTGCAGGGACTGGCAGAGCTCAGCATCCCTCTGTGGGGCGGTGAGATCAGCCTTGTTTGTTTTCTGGTGGCTAGAGGTGGGAAGAG